ATATATTTATAAGGCTATGTCGGTGGACAGAATCGTACGCTTTTTTGAAATCCACAAATAGTATTGTGGCGACGTAAACAACGTACCACGAGTCGTCCAAGTTGTTTAMAATATTGTCAGTTAATAATGGGAAATCCCATGTTCTAGAATATACGATAATTATCTCGTGAGGGTAATTTTGAAAAAGTTCTAGAACAATCGACGCATATATATACYGACGGGTCAGACGCTCAGTCAGTCAGTCCGAGAGTACCCTCCGCAGCACACCGTGAGTACACTACGCGACACACCGTGAATTACACACCGCCACATTCTCCGCGAGATATTCCGCGTTTTCTCCGTCATTGTAACATATTATATTGATATTTGTTTTTCACATTTATATTCACACATATTTATGTAATATAGTGTTTATTTTTAATTAAATTAAATTTTGAGTGATTTTTATTGCCTAAAACCCACAGTATATATATATGCTTTTATTGAATTCCCATGATTTTTCTATGATCTGTCTTAGGCTGAAGATTTGATCTGTTGAGTCTAAAACCAGCTTGATAATATATATATATAATAAATAATATAAATAAATACAAATAATGGATTTTAAAATAATGAGAACTTATTTCGTATAAATGATGTCAGAGAAATAAAAAAGATATTCACAGATAATATTCTCAACTGTATTGTATATCGATTTGGTATATTAGTTATTATTACAGCTTTAGTGGTTCTATCTCGCGCAAAACAGTTTTTGTTATGTTTTAGATACATTTATTGGGAACCCCTTGGCTGTAGTATTAAGAATAGTTAGCTATGTAAGCAGAATGCATTGTTCGACRCAATCGCCGGTTGATGTATGTTTTTCATAAGACAGYCGTGAAAGACCAGCGATTCCGTTAAGACGAGTGTATTATATAATTTTATTTTATAACGGTGTTTTACTTAAATTAAATAAATAAATAACTTCTTAAAAATAAGTTGTTGTGTTGAATATTCCTAAAGTGAGAACTAACAAATAATTTAGTCAGCGTTAACCTGGACTTAACCACGGACTAACGGACTACGGACAGTAACGGCCAAATCCGAATACTCGTCCACAACACATTTTTAAGACAGGGCAACATATGCGGGTGTAACATCCCTTTAAAGAATATTTTCCAGTTTTTAATTCATTATAGAAGTGTTATTGTATAATCACAATTCGTTGGTAGACAAATACTTATTTAATAAAATCTTGAAATTAAATTACAATTGATGATTGTAACTAACTGTAATGTACATTCGGGATTCTGGATAGTTAAACGCCATTATATTTAAAATATTTTAAATTAAAATTTAGGGGGCCAGTTCGGAGCCACTGAATTTTAAAGTATTTGTTTGTTTACAAAGTGAGTCCAAATAATTCATAGGACAAATAYATTTGAGATTACTAAGGTTATTGGAAACAATTTTATGGTAATGATACATGCTTGTAGAGATGTTATGCACTGTTCGATTTTCGAACCGAACCGAACTCTGGGTGTTCGGTTCGGTTTGAAAACCGAACTGGAAATTCCAAATAATTGAACCGAACCAAATATCTAATAGTTCCGTTCGATAATCGAACCAGAGAAATTAAAATTAAATTTTATGGAGTAACGGTTAAAATTATAAATTATTATTAAATAAATAATAATTAATAGATTAATATTAGTTGTTTAATGTTTGCTTGTTTAAATATTGATGTTTTTCGCTTTTTCTTATTCTTATCAGTTATCATCATATTAATAATTAAAAATTAAAAATCTGAT